AGCGGCCGCCGGGTTCTCCGCCTGTCTTCAAGGCGCGTTACGTGGCTCGAGGCTTCAGTCAGCGAGAGGGAGTAGACTTCTTTCAGACCTTCTCCCCCACCCCGAAGATGACTACTCTTCGGGTGCTGCTGCACATAGCCGCTCACCGCGACTACGAGCTTCACTCACTTGACTTCAGCACTGCTTTCTTGCAGGGCAGCCTGCACGAGGAGATCTGGCTGCGCCGCCCCCCTGGCTTCACTGGGTCGGTTCCTCTTGGTACCCAGTGGAGGCTTCAGCGGCCGGTCTACGGTCTCCGCCAGGCTCCACGTGAGTGGCACGACACACTGAGGACTACACTTGCGGCTCTTGGGTTCGCGCCTTCTACTGCTGACCCGTCGCTGTTTCTGCGCACCGACACTTCGCTGCCGCCGTTCTACATCCTCGTGTACGTCGACGACTTGGTCTTTGCCACTGCTGACACTGCAGGACTCGCCTACGTGAAGTCGGAGCTGCAGAGGAGACACACGTGCACAGACATGGGTGAGCTGACAAGCTATCTTGGCTTGCGGATCACCCGGGACAGAGCACGGCGCACCATCACCCTGACTCAGTCACACATGGTGCAGCAGGTTCTCCAGCGCTTCCGCTTCACGTACTCCTCGCCTCAGTCCACTCCTCTGCCTACCGGTCACTCGCTCTCAGCTCTGCCTTCGGATGAGTCCGTAGAGCCGAGTGGCCCGTATCCAGAGCTTGTGGGCTGCCTCATGTACCTGATGACCTGCACTCGACCTGACCTTGCATACCCTCTTAGCATCCTTGCACGCTATGTCGCTCCTGGCCGTCACAGGAAGGAGCACATGGATGCCGCTAAGAGGGTGTTGCGCTACTTGTGCAGTACGTCGGGCATGGGGCTAGTGCTTGGAGGGCGAGACCGAGTTGTGCTCACTGGACACTCAGACGCTTCTTGGGCGGACGACCAGGCTACTCAGCGGTCGTCTCAGGGTTACACCTTCAGCCTTGGCTCTGGCTCAGTTTCTTGGCGTTCCACACGCTCTTCGTCTGTTCTCAGCTCCAGTTGTGAGGCTGAGATCTACGCCACAGCCATGGCGGCCCAGGAGCTTCGCTGGCTGACCTACCTGCTGACCGACTTGGGAGAGAGGCCTCGTTCTCCTCCAGTGCTGTACGTCGACAACAAGGCTGCCATTGCCTTGTGTGAGGAGCACAGACTGGAGCACCGAACGAAGCACATCGCCCTGCGGTACTTCCTGGCTAGAGAGCTACAGCAGCGTGGTCAGCTTTGTCTGCGTTACGTGGCCACTGAGGCCAACACTGCTGATGTGTTCACCAAGGCGCTCCAGCCTTGTGACCATTTGCGATTTTGTACTCTTTTGGGCCTTGTGCCTACTGGACCTCACTTGCTCACTTCTTGACTTTGCTTGTACTGTGATCTCTATATATATATATATACCTGCATGTTTACTCTTGCTAGGTTGTGATCACTGTATCTCTTGCTCTGTTATAAACCTGCATGTGAACTGGTCTTGTGACCGCTTGCTTGTGCTCGGAATTTGTGTGGAATCCTCGAGATCCACCCTGAGCCTGTTTTGCCTTGCTTTGCCCTGACTGGTCTTGTGACCCCTTGTTCTCCCCCACTTTGCCTATGGGGGTGTGTTAAACATATGTGCTGCATTCTGTCTCGGCTGTAGTGGGGTAGCCCATATGGGGTACAACCCAAATTAGGGTTTACTACTTGTACTCCTGCATGCTGCTAGTTCACTCATTCCTGCCTGTTCATTCTGACAGATCTCCCCCCTCAAGTACCAGACGCGGTGTGTGGCGACCTTCCCCGGCAAGAGTGGGTACCTGGTGGGGTCCATTGAGGGGCGCGTGGGAGATGTGAAGGGACTCAACAGTCGCTCCCTGCATACCCTTTCCCCCATACACCAGACGGAGTACAAGCGGGTGATCTCGCCCCTCAAGTACCAGACGCGGTGTGTGGCGACCTTCCGCGACAAGAGTGGGTACCTGGTGGGGTCCATTGAGGGGCGCGTGGCCGTGCAGCACGTGGAGGAGAACCAGCAGCCGCTTCCCCCCCTCCCTTCCCACCTCCAACCCTTCCATTTCTCCACCTCCCCCAAGAGAAGCATCAATGCAGCCCCAGCCTGGTCCCTTGACCCGCTTTCTCTCCTGCCCCTGTCTCCCTCCGCCCACCAGACGGAGTACAAGCGGGTGATCTCGCCCCTCGAGTACCAGGCGCGGTGTGTGGCGACCCTCCCTGACAAGAGTGGGTACCTGGTGGGGTCCATTGAGGGGCGCGTGGCCGTGCAGCACGTGGAGGAGAACCAGCAGTCCCTTCCCTCCCTCCCTCCCTCCCTCCCTCACCGCCTCCACAATGCTTCCTGTTCTCCCCTGCAGCGACACTAAAGAGACACCAGCCTGATCCTCTTTTCCTCTTCCCACCCCCTCCATCCAGACGGAGTACAAGCGGGTGATCTCCCCCATGAAGTACCAGACGCTCCTGCGAAACCCCTCACATGTCCTGCTCTCCCTCTCTTTGCAGCTGTTTCAATCCTCGGGTTGCCGAGATGGCTACTCAGTCAACTTGTCGCGGATTGACACGAAGGACAATTCTATGGCATGTCCAAATCGGATATAAAGGTGGTGAACTATACCTTGGGACCAGGAGCACTGAAAAAGCAGCAGCCATGCTTTATGACATGTAAGATTGTTTTCGTTTTTTCTCCATCCATGGCAGCACCTTCCCTTGCTGTCATGGCAGCACCTTCCCGTTGCTCTCATGGCAGCACCTTCCCCTTGCTCTCCCTTGCTTGCAGGGCGGCATATAAGTTCCAAGGATCCAAAGCTCAGTTGAACATTGGACTGTCGGAAGAAGAAAAGAGGGAGCTCGACGCCGTGTCGGAGGAGGATTTCGTGACTTCCATACGCAACCTCCTGTTGTCTCGCCGCCGTGGATCGTCTCGGTACAAAGGCGTCTCATGGTACAAGGCTGGGCAGGTGTGGCGGGCATCAATTCGTATAAACAGAAAATTCGTGCACCTTGGCTACTTTTCATTGGAGGAAGAGGCAGCCGCTGCTTATGAGTCGGCTGCAATGAATGAAGTGGTGGAGGAGAGGGAGGAGGAGGACCACGAGGAGGAGGAAGAGCATGATGTGGTGGATTTGTCGAATGAGGAGCAGCAAGAGGTGGAGGATGAGGAGGAGGAGCAGAGCAATAGGAGGAGGACGAAGGTGGTGACGTATTTGGAGGAGGAGCGGAGCAGCAAGAAGAGGAGGATGAAGGTGGTTAAGGATTTGGAGGAGGGGCAGCGCAGCAGGAGGAGGAGGATGGAGTGGTGGGGGCAGAGGGCGTAAAGGTTACAATGGAGGGCTTGCAGTGGTTTCTAGAAGATGCTAATAATTTTTTTGTGCGTTATAAGGGACTATGGAATAAGGGTTGCCATTGAGCGTTACATCAATAAAAGCACGTGTATTCCAAATCTATCAGTTGTATCATTGCATCCTCGGATTTGAGGCCTTTGAATCCCGCGCTGCGCTGCTGCACCCTCACTGTCCACTTGCTTCCCAAGCCCCATCCCTTGCTGTCCCCCCTTTCTCTCTGTCCCATCACCTCCGACCCCCCTCCGCCCTTCACCCCTCCCCTCCCCTCCCCCCTGTCGTTTCACTCCTGCACGCCTGCAGAACACATTCATGACTATAATGGTTTCTACATGTTTCTGATCAGGCAGAAGACTCTTTTGTTGTCCAGGGGACATCTTGATGTTCACTGCCATTGGATTAGCAAAGCGAACGTAAGGTTGGGTCTGCGCACACCTGTCATTTCGATTGGAAAAAATATGTTTTTCTGGCATGCATATTAATATCGGTAATCATGCCTGCTCTTGTTGGGGGAGGCTCTGCCTTTATTTGGATGTGAATGGTGAGCTTCTCTCTCACGTTGACCTCAGCATACCTTTATCATGCCTTGCATTACCTTACATTACCTTACCATACCGCAGCATCCCTTTCTATGCTTTACAACGCCTAGCACTAGCTATGTACCCTTGCTACTACGGCTACTGCTGTTATTGACGATGGTTTTGCCTCGGGATGACCTATGAAGGGAAGATGGGGCAGTAGTGGGGAGGACGGATACCAGAGGGAAGATTACAAAGGGGGGGGTGTTATACAGGGGAAGGGATTCTGTGGCCGCCAAAGTAGCGAGGGGAAAAATATGTAAGCAAGAAAAGTAGCTGCAATTAAGAAGCAGCAGAAACATACGGTAGCTCAAAAGAGAAGCGCAGTGAAGAGCACAGAGGAGCAGAGAGGAGCAGGAAGGGGCAGAGAGGTGCAGAGATGGGCACTGCACTTGGGGGTAGGACGGAGTAATCGGGAATCAAGGGGCAACCAGGAAAAAAGACATCACACAATATGGCAGCGAGGGAAAAGATCACTCACCCTGCCGTTTCCAAGCAATCCTTTCACCCTCGTTTCTAGCCCCCCCTCCTGTCCTCCCCCCCCCCCCCCGTGTCCCCCTATCTTTCCATGTGTCCCTACTTTCCTCCTTCCCGTCTTCCTTCATTCCCTCCATGCATCCACCTGTCCTCCCCTCCTGTCCACTAGTGGTACTTCATGTGTGATGGTTTGGTTCGTAGTGGGGTGTACTTGTAGTTGGGAATGGGCTGGGGGATGCACGGACGGTCCAATGTCCACTGCCGCGTCGCCAGGCAATGAAATGTTTCGTTGTGAGACTCGGTAATTTGATGTTTTGGATTTCGCCCGCCAATCTGGTGTCAGAACTGTTGCAGCGACCGTTTGTTTTTCGAGCTGCGGACGGTTCGGAAAGTGAGCCGTTTTGGAAAGGGAAAAAGTGACACAACGGTCCGAACCGTTGACGACGTCGCAGGGGGCATTGGCGAAAACTGTGCGACATTTGACGAAGTAGGTTACAGTTTCGCGAAGCGGACAGTCCACGGTTCGCACCGTGGGGAGCAAAATGGAAACACGCCCTAAGATGTCATCTAGGTCGAAAGGTAGGCTGCATGCCTTCTGATTAGAGGGGTCGGGACGACACTGAGGGGGGACAGAGTTGGACGTGGAGCACTGCAGTCGGCTGTTGCCTCGGTGGGCGCTTCTGCTGAGCCATAATCAGCCGCCCCATCCCCTGCAGCGTGATCACCAGCCGCCCCATCCCCTGAAGCGTCATCACCAGCCGCCCCATCCCCTGCAGCGTCATCACCAGCCGCCCAATCCTGTGCAGCGTCATCACCAGCCCCTCCATCCTCTGTGGCGTCATCACCAGCCACCCCAGCCCCTGCAGCATCACTCCCAGCTGCCACCACCTCTTCCTTGGCATTGCATGCCGTCCCATCCGCCGCGATCCTCGCAGCCCGCTGCCATGTTGTTTTGCGCTGACGTAGACGCTAGGCTCGTGCACGACGGCTGATACGAGCCCGCAGGCAAATTCTGGCACGTGCCTCCTGGGTTGTCTCTTCAGTGTTGCTGGTAGGGGGCGGCGCGGATGCTCCTACGCCCACGGGCGGAGCACGTGGCTTCTCCTCCTTCCCAAACAGGTACTCCGCCATTTCGAAGATGTCTACATGCGCTTCCCTCAAGAGGGCCTTCCACTTATGCAACAGACGAGCCTTCAGCATGCGCTAGAAGAAGATCTTCGCGTCCGTTCCCCACCGGCAGATGTTCTGCTCCAAGTGCCACACGCAAAAATATTGGGGAATGCTGTCAAGGACGAACTCCTTAGCTGCGGGGACCAAAACCTTGTCTTGATCGCTGATGATCGCGGCGTTTTCCCGCTGCATCCTAACACTTGGGAAACGGTGAAGTTGTCCAAGAACCAGGTCCATGAGTCTTTGTTTTTAGACTCAACGAGCGACCATGCCAGTAGTATAATTTCCTAGTTCCCGTCCAAGACTACGGCAATGAGCGGCGAGGCTCGCTGTACACTTAAAAGGAACGTACCATCAAGGGCAACGACGGGTTTGCAGTGCTGCAATGCCTTCCCAGACACCGAAGGGGAGATGAAGATCCGATGGAAGTGGCCGTTGTACGTCAGGATCTCACCAAAGACTCTGGATCAATGTTCTTGAAACGGGTCGCGAGCGCAGGGAACAGGCGAAACGACTCGTGCCAGTCCCTGCGGACCTCAGTCTTGATCAGCTCTTCTAGCCTGCATGCAAGGTGGATACAAGCGAAACGGTAGTAAACATCCACACCCTAATGACCATGTATGAAAATCCGAAAGCATGGAAGATGCATTGTGCAAACGCGATGGTGAGAAGAGAAGCCTTTCAAATGACAAACATGTACGCTTGAGAGTAATTTCCGCTGGCGGATGGCGGATGTGTTGAGCCTATATATAACTTCGTGTTGTACCCATGTTATTAGATTATCATTTCTAAACCAGTTCTTCGATCCTCACACCTTGTATGCGTGTGTGTGTGAGCATGCGGGCGATGGGCCGATGCAATGAAACCCGTGAGTAAGCCAAGGTGGGCTAAGCAACAAAAAAGAAATTGCATAAACGAGATTGCACGCCTTCTTGATATCTATTGTAAGAACCAAGAGAGACAATTGATTCATAATTACCATGTCCAGAATGTCAAGCGTATTGTTGATCATGCAGTCGATGTATTGACCCTGATAAAGCGATTTTCGCGTGGCTTATGAGGCGAGGCAATGCCAGTGAAGTCTGCTCTCAATACTGAGAAAGACACAATATAACGCATCACCTACCTACCATAGCAAATATTATAGCTATAGCTCTCTAAAGCGCTACCTAAGTAAGGCAGCGACTTACGAGAAGAAAGAGGTATGAGGGGAAGAAGAGTGAATGGTCCACAATTGTGAATACCCATCTTTAAAAAGACAAACAAGATTGGGAACCAACCCAACCTTCGCATTGATTGGAATTCCAATCATTAACAGTTCAAAATTGCTGTTACAAGCTCCAACAGATAACTGAAAAATTCTTATTATAATTGTATTGCTCTCTTTGGTTGTAACTCCAACCAATATGCCACCTAAGCAAACTCACCTCTAAAAGTTTCTTGCGTCCGTTATCATGGAAGAGGCAGAGCTTGCCTAGGCCTCATCAAGATACTTGCCCTTTTTATCACGGAAGAGGGAATATGTTGTTTTCTTTATGTACTTGATATTTTCCTCACAAGCGCTCCATGCTCCAACAACTCTCCTTGTGAAACTACTCGATCTTTCGCAAAGCCTCACCTACCAACTTTTTAAGACTGAAGGCTAGCCTAGGGATCAATTTATCTTGTGTATTTGCCATTTCGTAGTGTTACAATCTAAGGTGTGACTTAGTGAAGAAAGGATCGTTCAGGGTTGATCGCAGGTAGTGTCGCAGCGGAAGTAGTGAACTCAGGTCAGAGTGAATGTAAATGACTGAGATTGATAATAGCATGCATACATAGGGTTTATATAGAAATACAAAGGAATGCGAAACGACCTAGACTAGCCATGTACTCTAAGGGGTACATTCCCTTATTGCAGCCAAATTCAAACCGTGCGGCGCGGGAACCAGTTTCAAATGTTTCTGCCTGCATCGGTCTTGATCAGGCGGTTGCTGTGTCGCTTCGACTCTTCTGACTCCTCGTCTTCGTACTCGGTAGAGTCGGCTCCTGCAGCATACAGGAATGCCTTCTCATAAAACTTCATATCGTAACACTCCCCTTCATTCCTGGACGCGAAGGGTGCTGACTCGCTTGACAACTCCTGTGCGGTCGGAGCAGTGCTTGAACTGCTGACGTGGCAGGCGCTTGGTGAGGAAGTCGGCTGCCATCTCAGTGGTTGGGCAGTAAGCGAGGTCAACTTTACCCTGGTCGATTTCGTCCTTGACGAAGAAGTACCGCAGTGCGATGTGCTTCGTGCGGTTCACGAACCCGGGCTTGTTCGCGATCTTGATCGCGCTCTGGTTGTCGCAGTGCAGGCGAAAGGTGGGCGAAGTTGGAATTTTCGCCTCCTGTAGCAGCTCCTTCACGTACAGGCCTTCGCGAACTGCTGCTGTCGCGGCGATGTATTCAGCTTCGGCCGATGACAGGGCAACCAGTTCCTGCTTCTGCGAGTTCCAGGAGATGGGGCCAGTTGGCTCCAGGCGGAAGACAAAGCCGGTTCGGGACCGTCGATTTGCTGGGTCAGCGGCATGGTCAGCGTCCACGTAGCCGTTGAGGTTGAAGGATGTTGTTGACAGCGTGGAGTAAAAGAGCCCGATGTCAGATGTGGAGATGAAGTACTGCAGGGCGCGCTCCAGGTCCAGCTGGTTCTCGGCTACTGGCTTGCGGGAGTACTGTGCCAGTTGGCTGGCGATGTACGAGAGGTCGGGTCGGCATATCACAGATGCGAACAGCAGACAGCCCAGTTGCTGCTGGTACAGTTGGAGTCCGGCAGGGGACAGAGGCTTGTTTTCCGGTTTGTAGTTGGTGCTGGGGTTGCGATTGGGAGTTGAGAGTGGTGCGCGTGAGATGTTGAATCATTCCCCCAGCTGCTCTGCGTTCTTCGAGGCTGACAGGTGAATTGCTTCTGGCGCGTAGGTGATGTTCAGGCCCAAAAACTGAGTGACTTTGTGGTTGATGGTGATGTCCACGCGCTTCGCCAGGTTCTCCTTGAACTGTTTAAGGAGCGTGTTGCAGGTGCCAGTGTAGAGCAGGTCGTCGACGTAGACGGTGAGGAGGATGTAGTCGCCGTTGAAGTGGAGGCGGTACATTCCCGGGTCGTGTGGCAGCTGCCTGAAGCCGATTTCGAGCAGAATTTTGTGCAGGTGCTGCTGCCAGAGACGAGGCGCCTGCTTGATCCCGTAGAGGGATTTCTTCAGCTGGCAGACCCTGGGATCTCCTTCTCCGTAGGTGTGTGGCTGCTCCACGAAGATGGTTGCGTCCACCAACGCATATAAGAATGCATTCTTCACGTTGATCTGTTGCAGTGGTAGATGCTTAGCGGCTGCTATGGCGAGTAGGATCCTGACTGAGGTGTGGCGACTAACGAGAGCAAAGGGTTGGTCGAAGTCGATGCTGTGGCGATGGTGGTAACCGCGTACGACCCATCGTGCCTTGAAGCGTTCGATGGTTCCGTCAGCATTGGTCTTGAGATGAAAAACTCATTTTCCGCTTAGCACCCTCCTCCCCTTCACTGCTGCACGATCGACGAGAACCCAAGTGTCGCGCGACTCTTGTGCCTTTAGCTCAGCGTCCATTGCTGCACGCCACTCCTTGGCGTGAGTACCGGTTAGGGTCTGGCGCGGGTTCTTTGGTTCGATGGCGCGAGCCATGGTGGAAACAGCGGTGTGGAGGCCAAGAAGTTGCAGGCCAGACACATTCGCGGTATTAGCGGTGTCGGTGATGGGGACTTCCACCACGTCATCATCGTCGCTCTTGTGACCAGGTGAGGATATGCTTGGTGCGACTTGGCGGCGGGATGGTCCGGGCGCAGGGGCGTCGTCGTTATCGTTGTCGTCATCGTCCATGCGGGGGCGAGGCGGGACGGCGGGATGATCGTCGGTGTCGTCGCGATCGAAGGCTGCTGCTGCTGCTTCATCCTCAGGAGACGCAAAGCTACGACCACTGTTGACATAGCCGCGGGCTTGGTTGCGCCTTTCGTCATCGATCCACTGCTGCAAGGTGAGCCACTTGTAGAATAGAACATCACGCGTGGGAGCAATCTCCTTCCTGTCGATGTGGAAGATAAGCCAGCCCTTGTGCTCATTACTAAGCCCCAGATGAACCCCCCAGCGTGCGCGCTGAGCAAACTTGCCAATGTTTGCTGAAGTTGGCCGATACTGCACCATGCACCCCCAAACCCTCAGCATGGAGGGATCTCCCCTTGAGCCGGTCCACTTCATGTGCGGGGAAAGGTTGTCCCTGTTGGCCGTGGTGGAGAGGAGGTTGTACAGGCGCACCGCGCGGTTCATGGCGTGGGGCCAAAAATTTCTTGGGCAGGCCAGACTGGTTCATGAGGGCGCGCACTTTCGTCATGAGGGTGCGGTTGACCCTTTTTGCGACTCCTTGCTGCTGATGAGCGTAGGGGAGAGAGATCTCGTGCTTAATTCCCTTCTTGGTGAGGACGCTCTCCAGTTCGTGGCTGCGGAACTCCTTGGCGCCATCACTCTGCCAGTTTTTTAGCTTCCTCCCCGACTGCCGTTGTGCATGTGCGAGCCAGATGCGGAAGACTTCTGGAGCTTTGGAGCATGCGTTGATGTTGGCGATCTAGACGTGGCGTGAGTAGGCGTCGATGAAGGTCAGCGTGTATTTTTCGCCGTTGAGTTCGTCGTAAGTGAGTACAATGAAGTCGCTGTACACCTTCTGCAGCTTCTTGTAGCGATTGGTGCTGGGTTCCAGAGAGGGATAGGCGATGTGTGTGAGGGCTGCAGTGGGGCA